ATTTTTTCAAAAAATTTTAATATAAATTAAAATTTAAACAATTAAATTTAATTTTATGTAAATATTTTAAATAAGAAATTATTCACATAATAGTAATCTTTTATTTCTTTTTCTTTTAAAGAACTATTAGTGATGTTGCATCTATCCCTTAAGATGCATCTATCTAGATATATACATTGCATTTATGTGTGGATAAATATAATTTTTAACTTTAATTTTAGTAATTAAGTAAATTTAATACAGAAAAGTAATATCCGGGGTGGTTTTTAATCAAAAAATAAGAACAAGGTAAATGGGGGACGAACGAAACCATATGCTATTACGCACATAAATTTAATAAAATTAAATCCAATTATCCAGTGTTAGGGGACAGCATTGCTAGCTTACACATAGAATGATAACGTTTTGTTATCATTCTATTTAATTCAACATAACCTATAGCTATAAGTTCTTGCTTGCTATAAAATTTAACTAAGGAGCTCAAAATATACTGACGAGCTTCTTGTTTATTCATTGCTTCTAACTTTCTAGCCTGACGACGTTGCCTACTCCAAGCTAATTTTTTAATACGATATTCAAAAGCATGATGAATATGTGCTGCTTTAGCTCGGCGACGTGCCTCATTTAATGTAATAGGCTCTTCGCCCTTACCTTTTAATTTTTGATTCTCCCAAGAAAGTTGTTGTCTTTGAGCTGACAAATATTTACCATATTCATAACCAATCAAAACAAAAAATAATTGAGTAACCCAGATAATATTAGGGATATAAGAAGCAGTAGTATCATCCCATATCCGGTCACAAAGAACCGCACCAATGGCTTCAATATGTTCATTGATTGCGCGACTAACTCTGCTATAACAAGGTTTCCCTGCTGCATTATATGTTGTCATGCCGCAAGCATCAGAAATTTGTGCCAACGACATATAAACTTTGCCAGTTACAATATTCACATGTGCTGCTAAACATTCCATGATAGAGTCAATAGCGCGGGCACGGTGCAAATTAATCGCACGTTCATTACGTAGCAATTGATGTGTTATTGCATGATAACGAGGAGCAGTACGCCATAGCAAATGCCGTGAAGGTACATTTTCTCTTGCTGCCTTGCGCATTGCATGAATAATACGCGGAGGCTTCACATTATCTTTAGGTGGTCGATAACAAGGATGGGGATTTTTTACATAGCAACGCAACGAAAACATCTGAGGTGTTGCTTGAGAAAACATAGAAAAATTTTTTTTATTCACTACTCCCTGCACTTATGGCAGAGCTGAGGATGAAAATGTTATCTAACACTTGATTGCTTAAGTTCATTAAGCTAGTATTCATATTGAATACATTGCTTCATGATTCGCATAAACCCTGATAGCCAGTCTGCCAAGATAACTCTATCGGGGTTTTTTGCGTTCAGATAAGAGACATGTTCTTTTTCTCTTTCTCTAAGCACCTGCTCACTATAAGGGAGCACCCTGTACAGCATAATTTACTGGCATCGTTTATACAAAATAACTGAAAGACCGCTAAGTTACAAGTACTCAGTTTTATATTTTAGTAAATTTTATATTAAAAATTTGCTAAAGAGCCATTTTTCACCATGTTATGTATAACACACACTTATAGAAAGTGTTACGATAATGTTATAAATAGATAGAATAATATTTAGTTAAATATATTTTTATATAATAATTTTAAATACTCATAAAATAAAATTTATTAATTATCAAAAAATATTTATATATGTGCTACTTATTTTCACAAATAATAAAAATAACAAGTTTATTATTATATCTAACTACAAAATATTAGTAAATAAAATTTACCATTAGTACATATATTATCGAATAATCATAATGACATAAATAATAATTTAATTATAATTAAATTATATATTAAATAACTTAGATATTAATGAATAACTAATAAAATATATATTTTGCTTATAAATTATAAATTATAAATATATAACTATGAATTAACATAAATAGTGCTACTACTAAATTTAGTAAATTACAATAATATAATAATTTTTTAATCCTTGATTTTTTTTTAAATTACAAAGTAGTTATATAGTATTATATTCTAATTTTTTAAAAGTTTAGTATTCTTATTAAGAAATTTTAAATAATTTATATCTAATGATTAATTAATTATGTTATACTAAATAATTTAATATATTGAATATTACTTAAAAAATTTAATAACTTCTGATTAAGAAAATATTTTTTATAGATATATTTAATAAATAATGTATTAATTTACAAATAAACATATTAAAAATTTTAATATCTTGAGTTAATAATTATTATATATAATATTAAATTAATATACCTATATTAATTTAAATACCTAAAAATTATAGAAGAATTTTAAGTAATAATTACTATATAATAGTATTAGATATTTCTATAATAGAGTATATGATATTTTACTAAAATAATATACTATAATAACTATTAATCTTTTTTCAAAAAAGATATATTGTAATATCATTACAATATTTTTTCTTCAACTAATTTAAAAATAAATAAAAAATAAATATACACTACTTGAAATATTAGTATTAAATATTAATATAGTAAAATCATATAGTAATATAAATTATATAATATATATTATTTTCAAATAATAATACTAATTAATAATAAGTCTACGGTATTATAAAAAATTGTAAAATAAATATTTATTAACATTAAATTGTTAATTATTTATATTTTATATTATTAGATATAATTATGTTTTTTTATGGTCTTTAGCTCGTAAAAATTTTTTATTAAGAAAAAATAACAGTTTATTAAAATATAATATATCAGATAAATTACTCTTTTTAACATAAGATACTTGCATTAATTAATAATTAAATAATAATTTATTTATTTGTATTGAAATAAAATTTAAACTCTCCAATAATTAATAAGCAATGTAACAAAATAATTATATTAATTACATAATAAAAACACTAAAATATAAATAAATTATTTTGTAATAAATTAAAAATTTTAAAAAAATTATTTTTCTATATAAAATAATTTTATTATATTTCTTTATAATAAAACTATACTAGTAAAATTAATCCTAAAATAATAAAATTACTACAATATATATCTACTAAATAAACACTTAATAATATCATCGTTCAATTCATAAAAAATTTAATAAAAATTAATCTAAATAAAGTTATTATATTAATTAACTATAAATTATTTAATAAATAAAATAAAATCATAAAAGAACCAGTAGAATAAAGTTCTATATAATCTAATCATTTTGTTGTTAATTAATTAACAAAAAAATAATTAATATTAAAAAAATAATTTATTAATTAATAATTAATAATTATAAACTATAAATAATATTTATTATTATCACCTACCTAATATTCATTAATTTATAATTTTATGCTCTATATAAATTATAAAATTATATTTTATTAGCATTATAGGTATCACATTAGCTGAATCTCTATTAGGAACATTAACAAATTCTTCAGTAACTAATATTACTTGCTAGTAAGACATAATTATAATGTTGATTATATTAATTGTTATCACTAGTAGATTTTTTACACTAAAAACAATTATTCTACAAAGAATAATAACATCTTTTATTACACTATAGTATAATTATAAACACATATTAAGTTTACAAACATATATTAAGTAATTTATATTTTATATATGGAGAATAGTTAAGGTATATGTAAATGTATAATTATTTACTTTAATTATCCTCTCCTGACTAATTATTATTAACGAAGAAAAAAGTTCTATTATTATATATACATTATTATTAATTTAAGTACATAGCAGATTCATTGCTAATAATTTAATACAATTAAATAGTGAACAATTATTTTTTAAATAAAAAATATTTTTTCAAACTTAATAAAGTAAATATTTTATATCTTACTTAATATTAATTTATAAGTTATATTACAGTACTAATTAAATATATTACTTTATATTAATTATCTTTTGAATAGATTGCTGCTAACTATTAATCATAATTATTATACTTTTTTAATTATCGTAAAAATTTTATAAATCTATAGTTATTAACTAAACAGTAATTTTAACATGATAATTATTAATTAATTATTAATTAAAATATATAACAACAGGGTAAAAACCCTGTTTAATTGATATTTATTTATTATAATTTAGTCAAATTTTTTGATAAATATTTAGCAACTCCTTCAGGAGAAGGATGCATTCCTTCTTGGCCTTTTTCCCATTGTGCAGGACATACGTCACCATATTTTTCATAAAACTGCAAAGCATCAATCATTCGTATCATTTCATCTATATTCCGTCCTAATGGTAAATCATTAACGACCTGATGTCTCACAATACCGGTTTTATCAATTAAAAATGAACCTCGTAAAGCAACACCAGAATCAGGATGCTCAATATCATAAGCTTTAATAATTTCACGTTTTATATCTGCAATCATAGGGTATTGAATTGCTCCAATTCCTCCTTTTTCAATTCTAACTTGCCGCCAAGCATTGTGCGTAAATACAGAATCAAATGATACACCAACAATCTCTACCTCACGTTTTTGAAATTCTATATAACGTTTATCAAAAGCAATTAATTCAGAAGGGCAAACAAAGGTAAAATCCATAGGCCAAAAGAAAATAACAGCAAATTTGTCCTTGATGTAAGATTTAAAATGAAAATTATCAGTAATTTTACCGTCACCTAGTACAGCAGAAGCGGTAAAATCTGGGGCTTGACGAGTTACTAGGACCATTTTTACTCCTGTAAAATAATATTTAATATTTATTTATTATTTTAGTTAAATTTTTTGATAAATATTTAGCAACTCCTTCAGGAGAAGGATGCATTCCTTCTTGGCCTTTTTCCCATTGTGCAGGACATACGTCACCATATTTTCATAAAACTGCAAAGCATCAATCATTCGTATCATTTCATCTATATTATGTCCTAATGGTAAATCATTAATGACCTGATGTCTCAAAATACTAATTGTATCAATTAAGAATGAACCTCGTAAAGTAACACTAGAATTAGGATGCTCAATATCATAAGCTTTAATAATTTCACGTTTTATATCTGTAATCATAGAATATTGAATTACCCCAATCCCTCCTTTTTTAATTCTCACTTGCCGCCAAGCATTGTGCGTAAATACAGAATCAAATGATACACCAACAACCTCTATCTCACGTTTTTTGAAATGCTATATAACGTTTATCAAAAACAATTAATTAAGAAGAGCAAACAAAGGTAAAATCTATAAGCCAAAAAAATAACAGCTAATTAGTCCTTAATGTAGGATTTATAATGAAAATTATCAGTAATTTTACCATCACCTAGCACAGCAGAAGAGGTAAAATCTGGGGCTTGACTAGTTACTAAGACGATCTTTACTCCTGTAAAATAATATTTATGGATTAATAATATTTAAATTTATCTTAACAATTACTGTAAGTAAGCCATTTTATAAAACCTTACTAGTATAAATAAATAATTTTAATTTACAATCCATAATAAAAAATAATATTTACTTTAAAGAAAATAATTTAATATAAAATTCATTTAGTAGTAAATAAAGTTCACTGCGCTAATGAAGCATGATAAAATGTACCTATCATTATAATAATATAACAAATTTTTTTCTATTATATATAATTAGTAAAAATTTACTATTATTTTATATTAGTTACATTATATAATATATTTTTATATATTAATAATATTTTAATACTAGTATCATACTACTTTTTATTTTATTTTAAATAATTTATATTATTAAAAATATATGATTTAATATCATATATAAATATATATAGCATTCTATTATTTAAATAATAAACATTTAATTATTTTTAAATAGAACTAAAATTATGCCATTATTATACATTTGATATTTTTTAATAAAAATACACATAAATATATATTTTGTAATAGTATATATATCATATATATATCAACAAAATATTTTTATTTATATTTCATTATTTCATTATTTTTCTATAATAAATATTTAAGTAATGTGAAATTATTTTATATAAAAAATAATGAAATGAATATTACTAATAATCGATTAAATACTACTATAACTTTCTTTATATCTTATTCTTATTAAGTATTCAACTTAGTTTAATTATTAACATAATTCTATTAATAATTAATTTTATGATAATTATTAATTATATAATTATGAATTATATTTAATTACGGTTAAATTAATTATTTATATTTTTAAATATAAAAAATAAGTCATTAAAAACTAGCTATATTTTAAAATATTTAAGTAAAGTACTGCTATGGTAAATTACTAAAAATTCATAAATGAAAGTTTTATAAAAATAGAGTTATGATATGGATGATATCCATAATTAATAGATATATCGATGTACTATTATTTAATAACTCAATATATTTATTTTTATCAAATAAATCATTAAATTTTATCTAATTATTAATTTTAAACATTAATTAATAACAATTACATTTAATTTAATTTTATTTAATTAAAAATATTATTTTCTTATAAAACTTTATATGTAGGTGGTTATGTGTATCTATTAATTATCAAATGATATAATAATCATCAAATGATATAATTAAGATAAAACAAGAAAAAAATATTATGCTTTTATTAAAAAATATTAATAAATATATTTTTTAAAATAAAAATATAAACATTAATATATATTATTATATAATATATTATTAAATATTAAATTTTTACTGATTATACGAAATAGAAATAAAATTTGTTATATTATTATAATGATCGGTACATTTTATCATGCTTCATTAGCGCAGTGAACTTTATTTACTACTAAATTAATTTTATATTAAATTATCTTTTTAAGGTAAATGTTATTTTTTTATTATTGATTGTAAATCAAAATCATTTAGTTATAATAGTAAAGTTTTAGAGAATGTCTTTCTTAGAATAATTGTTAAGATAAATTTAAATATTATTAATCCATAAATATTATTTTACAGGAGTAAAAATGGTCCTAGTAACTAGTCAAGCCCCAGATTTTACCGCTTCTGCTATGCTAGGTGATGGTAAAATTACTGATAATTTTCATTTTAAATCTTACATCAAGGAAAAATTTGCTGTTATTTTCTTTTGGCCTATGGATTTTACCTTAAATACTTTTATAAAAATAATTAATAAATATTTCTATAAATTATATAATTTAAAGAAATATTTTACATTAAAGTAAAAACATAACATAAATATATAATTAAATTATTTTAGATTTATTTAGAATCATGTAATATTATTGATTCTTTTGGTGATATACGCACAAAAATAATAACTAAAATTAACCAAAGTCCACCACTTAATAAATTAAATAAATTAAATCCATTTTTATTACCCCAAAAGTAAGTGATTTTAGATATCTCTATACCTATTGTAAATACAATCATACTAATTATGCCCATACTTGCAGAGACAGTGCCTTTACTAATATTACTAGAAAATAATGTTAATCTAGTCAAACATGCGTTAGTTATACCAAGACCAAATGAATATAAACTTAAGCCTGCAATTATCCATAGATAATCAGTTAATGGGAAAAATGTTGAAATACCGGCTAAAATTAAGCCAGTAATCATTGGGTTACCCCCATACTTTATTAGTTGTAATAAAGATGTTATTCCTGTAAAACGACTTAATAATAAATTACCAGCAATAAGTCCACCGAATACTGGAATTTGTAATAATGCATATGTAATGGTAGAAAGTTTTTCTCCACTAATTATTATTAATGGAGACAAAGCAATCCAAGCAAGTAATGGTGTATCCGCGCATCCTTTAGCTATTGCCCCATATATAAAACGTTTATTTTTTAGTACATATTTATAATTATGCCATAGAGTATAAAAAGATAATGCTTTTCCTTTTAGTCTAATTGTTTCTGGCATAAAAAACCATAACCCTACTAAAGCAATGACACTTAATATAACAAATATTATAAACATGCCTTGCCAGGAGAGTATATTAATTAATGAAGCACCTGCTAATGGTCCTAATAAAGGTGCAATTAATGCTATATTAGCCATTAGTGCAATAATTTTTACACATTGTGCTTCTTCAAAAGTTTCTTGAATAGTAGCGTAACCTACAGCACCAATAAAACCTAATCCTATGCCTTGTAGAAAACGTAAAATTATAAATTGCTGAATACTAGAGACTAGTAGAATTATTAAGCAGGTAATAATAAAAAAAAATACCCCCATAAGCATAATTGGCCTTCTGCCACACTGATCCGATAAAGGACCAAATAACCATTGCAAGCAAGCTCCCCCCGCTAGATAAGCTGTCATAGAAGCAGGTACCCATTCAATGCCTACATGAAAATTTGTCACAACTGCCAGCATAGTGGGCTGAATCATATCATTTGCTATATAAACAGAAAATTCAAATAACACTAAACTAAGAGGAAACAATATTCGTTGTGCTTTTGATAAAAATAGAGAATGCATAAATTTGTTCTTATTATGATAAATGTAAATGTATTAATCAATTTGTAAGTAGTAGTATTTGAAAATGAGTTTAATATTAAGTGTAGTGCTTTTGTAGTAAGTAAAACAACATAGAAATGTTATTTATTATGCTATTAATAAATAATAAGTATTATATTATTTATCTATAACATTAATTATTTATGTTTTTTGTTAATTATTAATAAAGAAAAACTATAATATTATTTATATTTTTATTTTACTAGTGATTTTATAATATTATTTTTTATTAATATTTTAGACTTTACTTCATTAAATGTTTAAATTTTTATTAAAAAATAAATTGTTTTAATTATATATAAAATATTTTTACTTCAAAGATTTATTTTTAGATATACTATTTATTTTTAATAAATACTTTATTTTTAATAGTAAAATAATTTATTTAATATTTAATTAATATTTATTTTAAAATTAATAATATATTGTGTTCCAAAAATTTATTTAAAATAAATATATACCTTATAATATTTTGATATGTTAAATAATGTATTGATTTTTATTATTATCAAGATTTTATCTCATATACATATTAAAATATTTATTTTTTTATTTTTCTTTATAAAAAAGTATTAGTAATATTGTATCTATTTTTTAATATGTATCTAATACTAGTTTATGCATTACATTTATATGGAATAAATTTAGTATTTTACTAGAGTATTAAGCAATATAATAAATTTTATATAGGAGAAATAATTTTTCTAATCTATTTAATTTTAAAACATTAATTAAAATTAATTAGTAGTTTAAGGTACGTATAAAATCACACAATACTAAGTGTATAAATTTATTTTCATTAATTTGATTAGATAGTACTGAGTGATAAAATTACTAATTTACATATCAGATGAAAATGTTTTATTACCACTAGATTCAATTTAATACAACCTATAGTTATAAGTTTTTACTTACTATAAAGTTTAACTAGAGCGCTAAAAATATACTAGTGAGCTTGTTTTTTATTACTTCTACTTTTTAGTCTAACAGTTTTACTTACTCCACACTAGTTTTTTAAAACAGTACTCAAAAGTACAATAAATATATATTATTTTAGCTCGATGATTATCTTTATTTAACGTAATCGAATCTTATCCTGTGTCTTTTAATTTCTAATTATCCTAATAAAGTTTATTATCATTAAGCGAAAAAGTATTTACCTTATTCATAATCAATCAAAATAAAAAATAACTTAGTGACCTAAATAATATAGGGGATATAGGAAGCAGTGGTATCGCCCTGTATCTAGTCATAAAAAACCACACTAATAGCTTTAATATATTCTTTATTATACACGACTAACTCTGCCGCAACAAGGTTTCCCTTAATGTATTACATACGTTCATACCGCAAAGATTAGAAATTTGTACCAGCGATATGTATACTTTACTAATTACGATATTCACATGTGCAGTGAAACATTCCATGCTAAAATCAATAACGCTATCACAGCCTAGATTAATTACACGTTTATTACATAATAATTTATGTATTATAGCATGACGATAAGTCATAGTAAGTATAGCAGATAATATTAATGATATCACTTCTTACCGCCTTGCGTATTGCATTAATAATACGCAGGACCTAATATCTCTCCTTGAAGAGCTGATAGTATAGATAAGGTTTTTACATAATAATATAAAGAAAAAATCTCAGATATTATTTAATAAAATACGAAAAATTTTGTTTATTCATTATTACCCGCACTTATTAACTGAACTAAAGATAAAAATGTTATCTAACACTTGATTTCTTACGTTCATTAAGCTAGTATCCGTATTGAATACATTGCTGCATGATTCGCATAAACCCTGATAGCCAGTCTGCCAAGATTAACTCTATCGGGGTTTTTTGCGTTCAAATAAAAAAATATTATCTTTCTCTTTCTATAAACACTTACTCATTACAGAATGAGTACCCTGTACAGTATAATGTACTAGATGATTTGTATAAAATAGTTGAAAAACTACTAACAATTATTAAATTTTATTTAGTAGTAAAAAATATATTTGATAATACTTATCAATGAGTTATTTTTAGTTCTAACTGGTATAATATAAATCTATAAAACAAACTATGTATAATTTAATATTTAGTTAAATTTGTCTAATTATTTTATACGATACTATCGATATCAGTAATAAAGTTATTATATTATAACATAGTTATATATATTATTTTAATTTATCAGTAATATAATCATTTATTAAATTTTAGTAAGTTCATAATTATATAATACTTTTTTATCGTTCTAAACATACCATATAAATAACATGGTTAAGATAACTTGTTTTTTTATTTTATCACATAATTGACATTATATTTATATTGTTATTGATCATAAGTATACTTTAAATTTTTATAGTAAAAAAATAAAAAATTAAATATATATCTAAATTATTACTAATTCCATTAGTGCTAATTTATTAGCATTTAAAAATTTTAGTTATTAATTAAAAATAACTTAATATATACAAATATAAGTTAATTTTTACAGTAAAATGTAATTGTAATGATTACTATACCCCATTATAAAATTGGTAAATAAAATATATAGTTAATATTTATATTATGAATACATAAATATAAAAAATCTTAATTTAAAATGTAATAAATATTGCAAATTAATTATGCATCTTAAGTAACAGAATCTATAATATTTTTATATAAAAATTTATATATTATAACATGTTGATAACGATATGAATTGTAATGTTATCATAGGTATAATTATATATAGAATAATTATTACGTCTAATAATAAAATTACTGAATATTTAAGTATAATGATATTTAATATCATAGAGAATTATTAATGTTAATAACAGTATTATACAATATCAAAATAAGATTTATTTTCACTATCTGCATGAAATGTAATATTATACATAAATATATGTTCTAATTAAAAATTATCTATATTTTATAGTATTTTACTAAATAATATTATGTTTATAAAAATTATATAATGGTATTATTATTTTAATCTATTTCCTAAAAAATTTAGTAAATTTGTATACCGTGTTATATATTTTATTAAGTAGTTCAGTGATATCTTTAGCATCTAAAATCAATGTTAATTAATACCTACGCTGAATACCTGATTCAGTATTCAGTAAGCTACGAGTATATTATTATTTTGTATTTTTAAATTACGTAATAACTGTGACATATAGACGATATTAATCTAGAAAATATTAGTATTACTTATATTAATAATAATATCATTTTAATATAAAATGTATAATATTATATTGATAGATAACTTTAACATTGATATTTTATCAATCAAAAAATAGTAAAATTAATTGATATAAAATTGTCTATATTTATTCATTTAACTATTATAAATAATATAAGATTTATTATTCCATAGAAATATTAAATAAGGATTGTAAAGATGTATTTATAATTTTAATGCATTACAATAGATACAATAATTATCTAATTCATCAAGGTAGTAATAGTTTTATATAAAATAATATAAAAATTTACTATAGCTATAAATAGTTATTGAATATTAAAGATAGGCACACATAGGATAATTATGATATTTATATCATCAGTGTTTAACTAAGATATTATATAAAAAAATACTGGCAATATTTATTTATCATTATTAGTCAAAGTATTATACATTATATAAATAATAATTTTACATAGAGAGAGTTAAATATAAATGTTATATTTATTATTTCTGTATTTTAGTTATAATTTATATTATGTATAAAATTTATAATTTAAATAAATTATGAAAATATATATTTGATAAATAAAATTGATTATATTTTAGTCATTATTTAGTATAATAGTAATAATTAAGTATAATAGAAGTCACTAAACGATCTTACAAAATATATTTTATATATTTTTTTAAAAAATTAATTTTTATTTACAAAATAGTTATTTTATGAGCTATGTTATAAGAACAAAATTTTATAAAAATATTTATAATTAATAAATGTTTTAAACTATTCAATACTATAATATATGTAAGATAGAAGGACATTCCTGAGAATATAAATAACTTAATAGTTTATTTAAAAGTATGCAATAATTTTAATACTATATTACTGAATGCTTTTCACTCACTCCTTGCGGTTTTAGTTATAGAAGAAGAGAATAGCTACTTTTACTGTCAAAATAGTATGTATAATGAGTAAATTTGCAAAAGTAATTACTATAATTTTTTCATTTCTTTTAACTTGCATATATCCGCTATCAGCTAGTCAAGGAGGTCGGGATGTAGAAGTAGGTTTTTCACAAGGAAGAACAGCGAAACAAATAATTATTTCAGCTATTGAAGAGGCAAAAATATCAATTGATATTGCTGCTTATTCATTTACTAGCAAACCTATTGTATTGGCTATCGTTGACGCACAAAATCGAGGTGTTCATATTCGTATCGTTGCTGATAAAAAATCAAACTGTGGAAAGTATACTGCCGTCACCTATCTCACAAATCACCGAATACCGGTAAGGCTAAATGATAAATATGCAATTATGCATAATAAGTTTATGATTATTGATGGACATTCAGTTCAAACTGGGTCGTTTAATTATACACAGAGCGCTGCATCTCGAAATGCAGAAAATGTTATCTATTTACGTAATCAAGTAGATGTTGCTGAAAAATATATACGAGAATTTAATAGATTATGGAACGAAGCAGTGGAAAATAAATCTACATATTAATACTATATATAGCAATACTATATTTAATAGAGTGCTATGCTCTATAAATATTAGCTAATGATATATTAGTTAATGACTTGTGTATGATTCTTGCTAAAGCGATCATACACCAAAATATAGTATAAATATATTTTTATTATATAATTCATGAAATTTAAAATGTAGCATTAAAATGAAAATAAAATATGTATACATTATAAATAAAGATAGAAGCAATGCTTAGAATTTATTATTTTAACGTAATGCTATTAATTCTTCTTTTTAAAAGAAATTAAAATTTAGTATATAAACCTTTATCTTTTTAAATAAAATATTTATTTAGTTAATAACTAATATTAAATAAAAATATTAAAGACTATCTATTTTCTAATAGGTAATCTATATAAAAAATTAATAAAAAATAATATTAATTATGTGATTTAAATTACTATAATAAAAACAAGTATAAAATTTAAAAGAGATATTTATTACATAATATTTACATTATTTCAAGTAATATTATTAATCTTAAATATATTATGTATGTTTAATATTAACATAGTACGCATATACTACTGAAATTTATATAAAATTAGTAATATAGGTAAATAAAACTAAATTTTATATTTTAATATAAATTTTTAATTTAAATACCGCTAAAAATGGTATCCTTATTATGCAAAATAATATTAATCATGAGAGTAGTATCTATATATATTAACATTTTCAGTTAATATAGGAAAATATTTTTTAGAACATGTAATATTATTACTAACATTCCATTAAGATGTTTATAACCTTTACATTTTATTTATTTTTAATATTGCTATACTTTAAATTTGACTTTTAGTCACTGACTAAAATAAATTATTAAATAAATTTATTTATAGATTTATTAATTATTTATATTTTTACTAAGTATGACCTTGTATATTAATACACAAACATAATATAGAATAATTTTATAACTATAATAAAATGCAGAAAAGTTATATACTTAGTTAATTACTAGATTAGTAGTGATACATTTTTATTTTTTATTTCAATATCTTTTTAATAAAAAATTATTTCTATCGGTAACAATATCATATTAAGTTAAGTATTATACCCTACATACAATGATTACTAATATTTGAACGCCAATTATATATCCAATAGTTCTCTTGATTAAAGATGTAAAAAATTTTATAAGTATATTGTAATTAACTTAGTTTTTAGTAACCCTAAATAAATATGAATCAATATTATCAATATATTTTCCTGAGCTTTATTATAGGTAATATAATGCATAATTATTAAATTAATAAATAGTAAATTACTTGATATATCTAGATATTATTTATATCTCTTTAGAGAAAAATATTTAATTAATATAATAAAACACTTTATTATATTTAATGCTATACGATAGTTTAATATATATTTCAACCTAACTATTTATTATAGATAATAAATCAGTAATGGCGCACTACTAAATATACTATTGATTATATTTTTATTATTAAGATATTAAATATATAGCAAAGATGATTTTTAGTATCTTTCGACTATATTATTAACTATTAAATATATCTTTATCAGTAACTAGATATAGTATATACGATTTAAAGGGTATAATAATATATTTTTAGTAAATATTTATTAATATTATTAAGATAATAATAGTTAAAATTTAAATAATATTAAAATATTTAATTAATATTAAATATACTGAAGATTAGATAATATTTGTTATAAGGTAATATATGATGTTAGATATAACAGTGTTTTTATATTTTGTTTTATGATAGTTTTTTAGTAAAAGAAAATATAGTAAAGAATTATAGATATAATCATACGCTAATAAATTATATTATTAATATAGATTACTATTTTAATTTTTAATTTAAAAATAAGCTGTTTGTATTATTTAAGATAATAAGTAAATATAACAAAATTAATAAATAATTAATATATTAAGATTTTCTTAATTAGCAATTGTTTGATTATATATTTAAATAATATTTATCTATTATTTTATTAATATAAATTAAAATACCTAAAATAAAACATTTATGAAAATAACTAATAGTATTAGCATATCATCTAAGGGATGTTTATTAAAAACATTTTATACTATCTCTAATTTAGAAGAGTACTTAGTAAATGTTTATATTTAAATTTTCTTTTAAAAAATACTTACCATAAAGTTTAATATTATACAACAAGATATTCAGCTTATTATATAATATTATGATATATTTAGAATAAATAATTTATTAGTGATGTAATATGCCATTGTTAATAACATGAAATTTAACGATAAACACCTATTACATCAATCTAAGAAATATTATTTGTTTTTATATTGAAAATGACACTTGAAAAGGTATTAAACATCCCTATATAAATAATATCAATATTTTTTACAAACATTAGAGGAGAATGCTATGGCTTATCGTTCTTTATCAAATACACCATCATTAATTAATGGCCTAATTACTGACCGTTTTACTCAGATGGATAATTTATTTAGTCGCTTGACAGGAGAAAAACCTATATCCGATACTCCGGCATATAATTTATTACAAAATGGTGAGCAACATGAGTTAACAATTAGTTTACCTGGGTATCTACAAGATGAAATCGATGTATCTGTACTAAATAATGAACTGATTGTACGTAGTAATCTAGATATTGAAAAAATAAATAAAATAGATGAACAAGAGGGAGTAAAATGGTTACATCAAGGCATTAAAAAAAATAATTTTAATTTAAATTTTACACTTGAACATCGTATTATTATCAAGCAAGCTAATTTAATTAATGGTCTTTTAACATTGCATTTTACTTGCGATACTCCTGAATATGAAAAACCACAAAAAATTACCATAGGCATTCAAGATGAATCTAAATGTATCTCTGATACAAAATAAATTTTAAAAATAACGCCCAATAAAGGGCGTTATTTTTTTAAAAACATAATTTTTCTTTTATATGAAAAGATAAGAGTATTATTGTCAGGTTTACTTTATAGGCGTAAATATATTATATAAAATTATATTTTATGGTAATAATTTGAATATTTCATTATATTATATTTTATTTTTACTACATTAAAATATTACTAAATATTTGTTAAAAAATTTTTATTTTATAAGTTTATTTTTAATAAATAGCAAGTAAATTACAAAGATAACGTTATTGAATTAAAAATTCAATAAACTAAAATAAATATATATTTTATATTTTATATATATAATTAATTTTATTTATTAGTAATAATTTTTTAAAACTTTTTGTATTTATTTTTATATTATTTTACATAAAAAGTACTACTTTTGTGTAATAAAAATTC